GACTGAGTCCCTGTGAATGCCGTTCAGGGCATACCACCCCCGGACATTGACGAGACAGAGCTTCATCTGCCTCGGGAGACACGCACTACACTCGCTCAACTTCGCTCCGGCTACTGCAGCAGGTTAAACTCCTACTTGAGTAGGCTGAATGAGCATGTGCCGAACGAATATCCGGCATGCGGAGAGACCCCACATGACTCGAACCATCTCTTCGCATGCCCGGAGAACCCGACAACCCTAACGGCCTTGTCCCTGTGGACAGATCCCACAGAAGCTGCACGCTTCCTAGGGTTGCCGTTAGTGGAACTTGACGACAACGACTGAGATACCGATCTGGGCGGGGTTGTTGTAGCCGCTACAACAACAACAACAACATGGCAACTTCACTTAACTTAACGGAACGTAGAACTTAGGTAATAAAAATGAAACAGATTTCGACGCGGTATTAAGTTACGTTAAGTTTCGGCTGTTCAATTGTAAGCAACACACATTTAACAGAATTTTTAAGAGAGAGCCGTAAGTTACGTTAAGTTTCCATAATCAGACCAAGACAATTGTGCACATGTGTATCGCAATTTGGTGTTAAATCGGCAACAACAATCCTCAACGTAGGTGTTCCGTTCCGCCTTCCATAATCAACATTCGTTCCGTTTCCCCAACATACCTTCATAGAATAACAATAAAATGCTGTTTTTACATGTACATATTGTCTTACTGCTCAATGTTACGTCCCAATAAACACCAAAAAAATATTTCTCCAACCTTGGAGAAATTCATAGTTCTCAAGTTGATATCCAACATCATTCTCCAACTCATCTCTAACCCACGCGCGGATACGTAAAAAGTGATAGAGATATGAATTTTTAATTATGAAGTGAAAAACTAAAGCTATATAAAGGGGAAAATACCAACGAAAAGTAAATAATCTTCAAAGTATCCTCAAATATTCTTGAAAGAAAATAAAACGAGAAGTGAATCAAGTGGCAAAATTACTATCGGACTGTATACTGTGAAGTGAATTATTGTAATACTATATTGATTAGCTACATAATAAAAAAGGAGTAATAAAATGAAAAATTAATATTTAAATTCATCTATATATGTCGTTTCAATCAAAAAGCTATAAGGTATTTTACTATTTCAATGATATGTTTGAGACCAATTGGAGAATTACATTGGAGTTCAAGTTGAGCAGTAGCATTTTCTCAACTTGAGAAACAGTCCTTTTTTCATACAAAGAAAAATGCCCTTTTTGTTGAGAACGCTATGATCCTCCACTTGAGGTACTCTTAGAAAACAACGTTGGAGATTTGAGAAATACCTTAGTTCCTAACTTAACCTCAAGTTGAGCTCAAACCTAAAAGTTTATTGGGGTGTGTTTTCGTTTGTATGTTTTTTGTTTGCAATTACGGTATTTTGAATTGTTTACTTCTTATGTTTATATTCATCCGCCTAATTAGTTCACCAGGCACAATCCAGGTGTATGTGTGTAATAATTTAAAGTTAATAATAAGTTATCGTGTTTGTATATTTACAGTCCTGAAGATGACCTCAGATTGAGGTCGAAATATCGACAGTTAAAATATCAATAGAACGAAGTTTTGCGTTTTATTTAATTGCTGGGCCTCGAGCTTGTTAAAAAATGATTCATAATTTAAATATTTGTATCATGGCACAAACTAAAGTATGTATACAAATAGGTACAAAGCCGTATGCATGCGCGGAGTATGCATAATCGGAAGTAATAGTAAATTATAC